TCAGGATTTCATCCTCCTTGGGATTACCCATACGGATTACCAAGTTTTAGTAGTAGTATATATATATATATATATATATATATATATATATATATATATATATTCCAAAGAGGATATAAATCCAAAGAGAATATAAATCCAAAGTGACCTCAATGTAAAAACAGAGCAAATTATAATTATGAAAGCGGAGACTTTAGAAACCCATGATAATATTTTATTTCGCAAGATCGAATAATTGACTATTCTATCTCGCAAAGTAATCTATTAACATGGGTTTTAAAGTCCTGAATCTATCTATCTATCTATCTATCTATCTATCTATCTATATATATATATATATATATATATATATATATATATATATATATATATATATCTGACACTATTTAGCTATAGTAATTGATTAACTAATTAGCCATAAAAGTTAAACAAGAAAATACTGAGAACGGAAAAGAAGATATCCCGAACGATACACCGTTCGATATAAAAAGATTTTATTTTTACTTAAAAAAAAGGTTACTTTTCACAAGAACCGGAAGCGTCGAAGATATCATTCGAGATCGCAAAGATTTTAGGTGTTGGTCAAGCGACAAGGCCATGTGTTATTTGTAAGACGAAAAAGGGAATTTCATAAACAAAGTTGATAATTCTGAACTGAGAAATCCTGAATAAGCAGGCATGTCAAAGAGTTAATGAAGCAAGCTTAGCCACACCCGCACGACCGAGACGCCATTGATCCGATGGTAGCATTGGAGATAGGCAGGGGTAAATTGGTAAGAAAGACGGGGAAATTACTAACGACCGCCGAAAGGATTTGGTATGAGGTACCAATGTGGGAAGGAGGGAGTTTAGGAGGATAGCTATCCTGCAACCTCTCCTCACGGACGAAGGGATTCCCCCCAAAATGGAAAGTAATTAATTTTCCAAAATGGGAAGTAATCAATTTTCCCAGCCAGATAACAAAGGAGTCTTTTGTCAAAAATCGGGAATTACCAAAAACCTTAGGCTGCGTCTAACCCCGCACCGGTTTTTGGTTGATGTCCATATAAGAGAGCGCTCCCGGCCAGTTCACCAGTCGAGTTCAGTTAGTCAGTTGGAGTTAGTTCAGTTCGTTAGCAGGAACCAGAGAGTTGCCTCGCTGAAGCTGACTGAGAGATTCCACGACTTTCGCCTCCGACTTCGCCATTCTACACACAACAAGTTATACTGACGAACGAAGTGAAGCCAGCACTTAAAAACTAAACCAGTTGACTTAGAAGACCAGAACTTGCCTAAGAAATATAAAAGTGTCACTCTCAGAAGAAACGGGTTGGGGAAAACACACACACTCCTGTATAGAACAGACTGATAAAAGTTGATTTGTTTTCTTTCAACATACCCGAACCCTTTTCTGGTTTTTATTTATTTCTTTTTACGCTTGTGCGACATCACCTCCAGTTTAGACTCATCTTGCACTACGGCCCCAAAGCCTGACTGATCTTGTCTACCTAAGATCAAATCACGACGTGGGTAGGTTAGACTTGAGATCGAAGTAGTTACTTCGGCAACCAGTCATTGGAAGTGAGCTGGGAACGACGGAGCTGATGTCGAAGCGGTTGCATCTGGTGAAAAGCCGTTAGAATCGACCGACCATCCCATTTGGTACCCTGACCAAAGGATCCTTCCGGGGAGCGACGACCGCCGATCGACCGGGTCACATGTTGGTGGCAGCGACTAAGAGTCAAACCCTGCGACCAAGAATTGATCCCGTCCGACAATACTGTCTCTCTCTCTCCCTCTATCTCCCCCTCTCTCTCTCACACACACACATATCACACACACACACACACACACACACAAATATATATATATATATATATATATGGTAAACGTATAGTTTTAAGGTATTCTATATTTATGTGTAAAAGTGCTCAATATCAGAGATAAATCGTATCAATATAAAAGTAAACACTGAAATCAACACCAAGGAGCAAGAGTTTGTTTCATTCTTCTTCTTAATCTTCAGGCCATGTGTGTTGTGTTTTGACTCGACTATTTATATATGCTGGTCCGTGATGTATTATGGGTAGTAAGGTCTATTGTATCAATCTAACGGTTATTGCGTGGTCGTTAATGGTTATGTTTCAAATTATTCTAGAGGCTATTGAGTAGAAATTCACCTCATGACAATTATAAAGACACACACACACACACACACACACACACACACACACACACACATATATATATATATATATATATAAAAGAGACGGTCTAAAGCACGAAGAATTTAACGACGGTTTTTCCTGATAAATGGAGACAGTATGGTTCGAATTCTGTCGGATCCCGCATATGCTTCTTTAATAAGATTTCTCGAATATTCAAGCCGGTAGACGAAAACAAATCAATCTAATGTTTAAGAAATAAACAGAGCATCTAAACAAATACGGGTATCCATTAAAAATAAGGTTTAAATAATACATTTTCTTGGATCAAAATCCATCACTTCTTTAAAAATTGCTTTGTTTATATTAGGATACGAAAGAAACAATTTATACAAAGAATTAAATGGCAATGTTAATGTACTGTACTGTACTGATGCGGCATTCACCCTGGGCGGATTGAGCCGGCTTCTTCCTGTTATGAGAAGAAGATTCTTGGGATAAATTACAGAAGTAGGGTACCCAGGCCTACTCGGATAACGTTCTTGCTTGCCGCGGGGTTCCTACAGTCGCAGGAACGACCAGAAGCCGCCGGTTACCGATGCAGACGCTCCTTGGATTTTCACCAGAGCCCTTGTTAGCCGGCGTGTGTGTCAGACCTGTCCGCCTTGGGTGGCCCTACCAGGAACGAAGTTCCGGGCGGCATAGCTCTGACACTACCGTTTTACCCCCCCCCCTGTGAGGTAAGGGTTGGACTTTGGGGGCTTACAGTACCAGGTGTTCCCAAGCGGTCCCCCATCTAAGTACTGACCTGGCTCTACGCTGCTTAACTTCGGTGATCGTACGAGATTTGACCGTAAGCAATGTTAATGTGATTAATGGCGAAATCACTTCGCTAACAGAACTTAATGAGACATTAACTTACTATCAATTCCTTGAATAATAAGATCCTTATATTCGAGTTGACCGAGAGATGTTTTTTTTTATTTTTATTTTTAAATTATGCTATTTATTGACAGCTGAATATATGTTGCGACGTCGCGAGGCTAGAGTTCTTGTTCAAATCGATCAAGTGAGAAATTTTTAAATTTTGAAAAATTAGAAATCCACGAAATTTTCTTGTTATATGTATTTATCTGTTAAAGATGACAATATGAAATTCTCAAAAGAGCTTGGCATGTGTCTTCCATTTAACAACAACTCGAATATAAGGATCTCATTATTCAAGGAAATGATAGTAAATTAATGTCTCATTAAGTTCTGTTATATATGTTATATGGCGGACTCTCCTGTCGAATTCGATGTATAAGGTTCAAGCAGATCAGTTCCTAGGAACCCACAACCCAGACACCAGCACATATGATTTGATTATAGTGGTGAATGCTTTGGGCAGAACCATCCACACTTTTTAAAGGGCCGAATACAGAGACTTGGTGCACTACGTGTCACAGGGTCCCCAAACGACCCTCCACATGTTTTGAATTCAGAGTTGCCCTCATCATGAATCATAAGAAACTTAAAATAAGTGATTATTAAATGATATTTTTGCCATACAATAACTTTCGCCATACAAGTTTTTTTACAAATTTTGCCATTCAATAACATTTGCTATACAATAACTTTTGCCATACAAGTTTTTACACATTTTGCCATACAATAACTTTTACCATACAAGTTTTTACAAATTTTGCCATATAACAAGGTCTGCCATACAATAACTTTTGCCACACAATTTTTTACAAATTTGGCCATACAATAACTGTTGCCTTACAAGTTTTTACAAATTTTGCCATACAATAACTTTTGCCATTTTTTTTTTACAAATTTGCCATACAATGGCTGTTGCCATACAAGTTTTTACAAATTTTGCCACTCAATAACTTTTGCTATACAATAACTTTTGCCATACAAGTTTTTACAAATTTTACCACTCAATAACTTTTGCCATACAATAATTTTTTGCCATTTTTTTTTTTACAAATTTTGCCATACAATAGCTTTTTTATACAAGTTTTACAAATTTTGTCATACAATAACAATAACTTTTGCCATAAAAGTTTTTACAAATTTTGCTATACAATAGCTTTTGCCATACAAGTTTTTACAAATTTTGTCATACAATAACTTTTGCCATACAATAACTTTTGCCATAAAAGTTTTTACAAATTTTGCTATACAATAACTTTTGCCATACAATAACATTTGCCATACAATAACTTTTGCCATACAAGTTTTTACAAATTTTGCCATACAATAACTTTTGCCATACAATAACTGCTTTTTAAAAATAAAGTTTTCATTAGATGCATCATTAATCAAGACTAATCCAGCAATACTTGATTATATTACTTCTTCGGTTTTTAGCCACCATATCCCTACAAATAATGGCTCTATCAGAATTTGGAGCAGTTTCATTACCTTTAAATATGTACTTAGGCAACATAAAGAAAATAATTTCAAGGCGCTAAGTAAAATGCATAGCTGTTGACAAATTCTGACAGGGCATTGTACTTTTTAGATATTTACACGTCACATTTGTTCCCGGAACCTGAAGCTGATGCTTGAACCCAAGTAACAGATGATGCCAGTTTTCAAGTCAGGAAGACCTTCAGTACTTAGAAGATTGACGAAAGGCAATTGTAAAAATGTATAATATCTGTGTGATAGTATGAGTAGTCATCTTGTGAGTGATCGGATCTTTGTTGATCTGTTTTTTTTCTATCTATGTAGATATTTATACGAAGCTTAACTTCTCTCGACAGAAGGCCAAACCGGGTGGAGATTCTGAAAAATTGTTGTACAAATCTTGCTGTTTGAACAGCGCTGCTGCAGGTTTTTAATCAGCAATTGACTCGGCAGATCTATCTATCTATCTATCTATCTATCTATCTATCTATCTATCTATCTATCTATCTATCTATCTCAGCCTGTTCATAATCTATCTATCTATCTTCTTCTATCTATCTATCTATCTATCTATCTATCCATCTATCTCAATAATCTGTCTCATTCATTAACATCTATCTATCTAATCTATCTATCTATCTATCTATCTATCTATCTATCTATCTCTATCTATCTATCTCAGTCTTTCATATCTATCTATCTATCTATCTATCATCTATCTAATCATCTATCTATCTATCTATCTATCTATCTCAGCAATTAACATTGATTATCTATCTATCTATCTATCTATTTTATCTATCTATCTATCTATCTATCTATCTCATATCCCTATCTATCTAAATCTATCTATCTATCTCGAATTTCTGTCTCATTCAGTTAACATCTATCTATCTATCTATCTATCTATCTATCTATTATCTAGTCTGTTCAATCTATCTAAGAAATCTATCTATCTATCTCGGTTTGTTCATATTGATCTGTCTCATTCAGTTAAATGCTATCTATCTGATCATCTATCTTCTGATCTCAGGGCATCTGTCTATCTATCTTTTTCTAGATATTTCTATCATCTATCTCGGTCTGTCACATTTGTCTGTCTCATTCAGAACATCTATCTATCTATCTATCTATCTATCCTATCATCTATCTCAGTCTGTTCATAATCATCTATCTATCTATCTATCTATCTATCTATCTATCTATCTATCTATCTCGTCTGTTCAGGAAGACCTTTCAGTACTTATCTATCTATCTATCTATCTATCTAGATTGACTATCTCAGTCTGTTCAATCTATCTATCTATCTATCTATCTAAATCTATCTATCTATCTATCTGTTCTCATGATCTGTCCTCATTCAGTCTATCTATCTATCTATCTATCTATCTATCGGATCTTCTTGTCTATCTATCTCCCAGTTTTTTTCTATCTATCTATGTAGATCTATTTATACTGTCTCATTCCAGTTAACATCTAACTATCTCTCGACAGAAGGCCTAAACCGGGTGGATCTTCTATCTAAAAATCTATTGTCTCGTACAAATCTGTCTCATTTTAAATCTATCTATCTATCTATCTATCTATCTATCTATCTATCTATCTCGGTCTGTTCAGGTTTTAATCAGCAATCTGATCTATCTATCTATCAGATCTATCTATCTATCTATCTATCTATCTATCTATCTATCTATCTCAGTCTTTTCATACTGTCACTCTTTCTCTTTCTCTCTTTTAGTAGGTTCATACTATCTATCTATATATCTAAGCTAATTACATTCGTTTCTTTCTTATCTATCTATCTCAATCTTTTCATGTTATCATTCTTTCTCGGTAAATTCATAGTACCTATCTAATTACATTCGTCTCTTTCTTATCTGTCTCTCTCTGAGTTTTCATACTATCACTCTTTCCCTCTCTCTCTCAATAGGTTCATACTATCTATCTATCTATCTATCTATCTATCTATCTATCTATCTATCTATCTTATTACATTCGTCTCTTTCTTATCTGTATATCTCATTATCTATCTGGAAAACAGTTAAGTTTTACATTTTTATATAGATTGTATTCTACTGTCTTTACAACAATACAACAATTTATGTTTTTGCTGATAGAAAAGGTAGACCGCCACCAACATCTAAACTGGAATGGGAATGATAAATTATATGGGAGTCTACGTTTCTTTTTGTTCTCTTTCTTTTTTCCCCCCTTCAGTTGATAACGCGTTTCGTTTCGGTAAATGTTTATCAAAGCTGAGTAAACAAAAACCCTTGTGCAAAAATACGTCCATCATTTTGTTGGTTGGCATTTCCCTATAAAGGGATGTCTTGCGTTTTTATTTATTTATTTATTTTTTTTTTCAGCTATGCATCGCCATGGGACTCATCTCCACCTCTTCTTTGCATCTTCAGCCATTTTGGGATCTCACTTCAACAGGGCGTTCATTTTACACACCGACTTATTCGATATTTGCAGACTGGGGCCAGAAATAAACTTCTAGAACTGAGTAATGGCTGAGCGATTCGATTTTTCGACTAGAGACTAAAAGGATTAAGCTTCTCATTGTGGGTGACGACCAACAAGCAAGAGCATTAGACTGAAAAATTGAATGTCTGAGGTTTCAATACCTGAAAGGTTTACGCCCAAATCATTTCGACACACCGGTAAGCAACGTCAAGCCTGGTCAGTACATAGATGGGTGACCGCTCGGGAATACCAAGTATTGCCAGTTTGGATGTGCGGATGGTGCAATAGATAACGGCTCGGAATAGAAATTCGGAGACCCGAGTTCCAATTCCAATCGGGTTTGTTATATTCACTTATTCGCAAATTCCCTTGGGAAAAGGATAAATCTAGCACTTCGCCGCCCCCACAACCAGTTATGGAATAATTAGTACGGTGGAGTAATGGATAGCGTCTTGGACTGATGAATCGGAGAGCCGAGTTCGAATTCCAGTAGAATCCATTACATTCACTTACGTGCTAATACCCTTGGGAAAGGTATGAATTCTCTTCTTCTCCCATCATCTATGGGTAAATAGCAGGACAGACCGAGTTCTATAGCCTTGGATGGCAACTGGTCTACCGCAGAAAGAAATGGCAAACTACTGCGGGAAAAAATGTCTCGTCAGTCATGTATCGAAAGATACATGATCGCCTACGCGTGTATTACGCATGGCACATAACTGACTGAGTAAAACTTGTATCAATAAATTATTATTATCTCCAAACTATTCTTACAATCTGAAACCATTTTCTGGTTCTAAATAACTTGGAAAGGATTGATGAAACGTGAAAAAAAAATCTTATCTTACCAATCTTAAATACCTGAAGTGTTTTTCGACCCTTTTTTTTTTAAAAGAGTAAAGATCATAAATCGTAAGGCTGAAATGCCGTGTGAGACTTTCTTATTCGCAAAATTTCGGAGAGAATATTTGGTCTTCAATTCAGTCAGAATTTCATCGGAGCGTTTCATTGAAAAAAAACCCCCAAAACCAAAGGAAATATTTCGCTGCATAACAGTAAAAAAACGACCATTTTATAAATCATTTAGACATGAAAATAGAGACTTTGGATTTTATTTGAAGCCACTTATATGAAATCCGTGAAATGCACTCATATCTATTTACTTCGGCTTATGGCCATCTCACGTCGAAACACCAGTTCTCGCTCGATAATCGAAATTAAGCAACGTCGAGTCTGGTCAGTACCTAGGTGGGTGACCGCTTGGAAATACCAGGCACTGTAAGTTTGTTCGTGTTAGTAGTGTAATGGATAACAGCTCTCTCTCTCTCTCTCTCTCTCTCTCTCTGTGTGTGTGTGTGTGTGTGAGAGAGAGAGAGAGAGAGATTGAACAGAACGTTATAGATAAATACAAACAGCCTTAAAACATCTCTCTCTTTTAAATTTTATTCCCCACTTTCACCTTGAGGTCTTCCTGTTCTTCTTTCTTCTGTTACACCCACTCTCTAGAGCTTTCATACATTTCCCTCTCACACTTGTTTACCACACGTACACTCTCACTAAAATTTTGCTTTTTATACCCGGAGTTATATTTTCCGATTTCTTTTTGAATTTGTAGGTCTGATGAATTGGATCGTGATTACGATTCCAATGTAATAAATTATAACCATGGAATATTAGTGTTTGAGCCTTTTATATTATATTCTTACTCTGTCCTGGACATTGAGTTCTACCTGGATTCTATCCTCTTGGGAATTTATATATATATATATATATATATATATATATATATATATATATATATAGAGAGAGAGAGAGATTGACCATTAATATTATCAATATATATATATATATATGTATGTATAATATTTATGTATGTATATATATATAAATGTGTGTGTGTGATTTATATATATAAATTATTTATATATATGCATGGTACTTATTGGAAAGCCTTAATATCAGTGATAGAGCTAACATATTTTGTTGTATGGATGTGAGCATGTAATCCTGGATTTCACGTTTTTATGATCCTCAAACAAACTTGTCTGAGGATCATCATAAAAGCGTGAAATCCAGGGTTACAAACTATACATATAATATATATATATATATATATATATATATATATATATATATATATATGTGTGTGTGTGTGTGTGTGTGCAGGTGAGATACAGAGAACGGATGTTTTGAAAAATTCACATCATTAATTTTAGCTTCAAAAATTTTTATTCATATCAATGTGTTCGTGTTGAATTAGCATTTGACAAAATCAAGTGTGGAAAACTACATCCCTGATGTGGTCTCCGTTTTCATTGATGCGTTTCTGAAGGCGTTCTTCGATGTTCGCCTCCATTCTTTCCAGTATTGCTTTATCAATTTGGACGACTTCCAGAACTATTCGAATTATACAGCAAAGCTTGTGTGACGCGTTCCACATTTCCTGGGGAACGTATCGTTCAGGCATGAACCCAAAGTAAGGTTGTGTTGCTGTGACAGACACGTTATTCTTCACAAAACCGGCCTAGGGAAACACGCGGTGCCCTATCGTCCACAGCGCCATGGCTTCAATTGAATAAAAAATGTTAAGACCACACGGTTCGAATGGTACTTGTCAGACATATATCCCTCACGCTGGGGCTGAGTAATAGCCATTTTAAAAATTCCGTTCTCTCTGCCCCACCCTGTATATATATATATATATATATATATATATATATATATATATATATATGTATGAGAGAGAGAGAGAGAGAGAGAGCGAGGAGAGAGAGAGACAGATAGATACAAACGGGCTGAGATAGCTAGATAGATAAATAGGAGAAGTGATGCAGTAAATTATACAAAATGTTGTACAAAATAAATAGATAGATAGATGTGTTACAGTAAAGTATATAAAATATTGTCAAGATAGATAGATTCCGTTATAAGATATTTTATATTCATGAAATGTCATCCCAAAAAACAAGGGCTCGTCATATCATGATTAATGAAAATCAATGTTCTAATTCCCGTATATATTTTTATTTTAGCGAAAAACAAACAAGAAGTAGATAACCTCAAAACCACATTTAAAAAAACAAAAAAAAAAAAAACTCTATCCTTAACTTTACCTATGAATAGAGCCAAAAAATAAACTCCCATTCTTAGACGTTCCCGTAGAATACAGGAATATAACACTTTCACCAGCTAATTATATAAAAAAAAACAGTAGCAGCAACTCTTGCCACCTTAATTTTAAAGGTGAATGCCCACTTAGATATAAAATAGCAGTTATGAAAAATTTCCTAAAGAGAGCAAACGAGGATTCATACACCCACCATTTACTTTTCATTAAAGAATTCAATAATGCAAAACGGACACTTGTACATTAATATCTTCTACAAAACCAAATACGTCAATTATAAGCAAGATGTATTTTCACTTAGAAATATAAAGAAATACACTACCCCACTCGACCAGAATACAAAAATTAAATTATCTATTACAAAAAATTTAAAACTGCTAACCTTATCAAAAATAACAAACCTGCAAAATCAAAAGTACAAAGAACCAACATTATTTATGAGTTCAAATGCCCCTTAAGGAACTGTGTTCCTGATCAAACCAAACTCATAAATAAACATACACTGTACCTTATATATAAGATATCTATCTATCTATCTATCTATCTATACAACACACACACACACACACACACACACACACATATATATATATATATATATATATATATATATAAAAAAAAAAGAAATTGTTAATCTCAAAACCACATTCGAAATAACTCTGTCCTTAAATTTATCTATAAACTGTGTCGAAAAATAAGATCCCATCCTTACACCTTCTCGTAGAATACAGTAATAACGCATTCACCACCTGATTATATAAAAAAATCCACTAGCAGAAACTCTTGCTACCTTAATTTTAAGATTGAATACCCACTTAGACATAAAATAAGTTATTAAAAAATTCCTAGAGAGCACACGAGAATTCATCTTTTCGTCTACAGTACTTTTCCTTAAAGAATTCAATGATGCAAAACAGACACTAGTTAACAATGGCTTTTCTAGCTCATCGACCATTATATTAGATTATTTCTAACTATAAGCAAGATGAATTTTCACTTAGAAATATCACAAAAAAAATACACTACCCCCGTTGACCCGAACAAGAAAATTAAATGAATTATTTAATTTAAAACAGCTAACCTTATAAAAAATAACAACACACGTGCAAAATCAAAACTATAAAGAACCAACATTATTCCCGAGTTCAAATGCCCCTTAAGAAACTGTGTTCTTGATCAAACTAAACTCATAAATACATCGGTTAAACTACTAGTTGTATATCCAGACGAATTACATTGCATCTATCCGACCATAACTCATTTAGGACTTATTTAAACACACACAAAACCCCACCAGACACATATAAAAAAAAAAAAGATTAAAAATAATGAAAAACTTAATAATAAAAAAGAAAAAGCCAACACTCAATAACATTAACTATGAACACAGCCACGGTGTTCTGATCGTGTTTGGAAAATAAAACATTCCTATAACTCTAGATGCACACATAATACAACCCATACATTTTAGTTAGAAAGTAAAAATAAAATCATCCTTGATAATGGCTAAAAGTATAACCGGAAGCTGTAGGACATGCAGAACATTTGTACAGTTTTTACACACTTTGTGTCCAGAAAAGAAAACATTAAATAAAATTAAATAAAAAGCTTAATCACAGTACCTTGTCAGTCGTCTTTAAAATACACACACGCACACACACACACACACACACACACACACATATATATATATAAAGTGAACATTGAAGTCAACACTCAGAGGCAACAGACTGTTTCATGCTAGACATTCATCAGGCCACATGTGGGTCTAGCATGAAACAGTCTGTCGCCCTGAGTGTTAACTCAATATCCACTTTTTATTTGCATACACTTTATCTTTGATATTGAGCACTTTATCCAATAAATATAGCATACCATAAAACTATATATATATATATATATATATATATATATATATATAAGGAAGAGGTTATAGCAGTTCCAACGAGAGAAAAGTGTGTATATTACAAAAAAAAAAAAAAAAAAAATAGAGATACCGCAAACGTTTTTGGTTGTAATGTGGATTTAAAAAAAAAAAAAAGCTTTATTTTCCATAATTTTACTACACGTGTTTCTGGTCTCGCGACCGTCATGAGGCAAAGGGTGGAGATTTCCACATAGTATTAAAAATAATTAATTTTTTTTCTCCTTTATGCTTTTCGATGTTAAATATTCTCGATATGGGACATTCTCTTTTTATGTGTTAGTAATCCGAATGTCTTTCTTGCAGTGGCAATGAAGAGTTCTGCGCGAAGTGTCATAAAACAATTAAGATTGGTCCGAGATAAATGATGAATTAGTTATCGGTATCTTATCTTTTAATGTTTTAATGATCCCTGTATGTTCTTAGATCTAATATATATATATATATATATATATATATATATATATATATATATATATATATATAGTACAGGGGGTGTAATTCATAGCTGTTCGGAAAGACTAGTTCGAATTCCAATCGAACTCATTACATTCACTTATGGGCAAAATACCCTTGGGAAAGTTATAAATCCATCTCTTTGTCTCCATGTAGCTATGGATTAAATAGTAATACAAATTGGATACATTACTCTTGGCACACTATATACTCCAGTTCTCTCGATTCGCTTCTATCGAAAAAACTGTGATTGGTTCTGCATCATCACTCTAATCAAATATTATGTGAGCGAAGTCTGGTTGCTCGGTTCTAAGAAGTTAGCAGCTGGACCTTCAGACGTCGAAAACGACAGGAATTTCCATTCTCATATATATATATATATATATATATATATATATATATTATAATGAAGAGAAAGAACAGTAAGATATATAATCCGGTGTTCTTATTAATATTTTTATTTTTAAAAAGCAGTGCTCAATACAATTCTGCAGAGCATAAATATTATAAATTTACTAATTTTCAAAATTCGCTTGAAAATTAAACAGTATTATGGACTTTAATTTAATTCTGTAATTAAATTTGAAGTTTTTAGTTTCTGTTTTTGAAACATGGTAATTCCTGTGTAGCGATGGAACTATATTTTTTCAATTAGTAAATTTATTATACATATATATATATATATATATATATATATATATATATATATATATATATATGCATGGTTCGTTGAATAATATAGACATATTATGTCTGTTTATTTTTATAATAATTCATTCTAGTTCTCTAATTAAGTTCTTGATGTTAATTTGAAATTCATCAAGGAAGGCACCGTAGCTTTTGTTTACCCAAGTACTTTCGATCTCCACCGAGATCCTCCCCAGGGGTGAATCGCGAAAACAAACTTAATGTAACTGTGATCGTTCTGGTGGTGATTTTTGTAAATAGGCTTGAAGGCGCTCTGTTATAATTATGTTATAGGATTTTTTTAGGCTTAAAACTGGTAGTTATTTACGTTTATGACCTCCAGATTGCTTGTTGATGCTTGTTGGGTGGTTGGAGGGTGTGTGTTTCCCCGTTTTATATACAGACAGCTAAGCAGTAATGCTTTTTAGTCTAATGATCACAGAGAAGCGTCAAGCTGGCAATTAACATACTGTATTGATTGCTATGTCTACAATCTATCTATCTATCTATCTATCTATCTATCTATCTATCTATCTATCTATCTATCTATCTATCTATCTAGTATGACATGGTTATAAAGTAAGAGGAAGTAAAAGATTAATTTATTATAGTTAAAATGTATAGAAAACGAACGAATTTTCTCCGGTATATTTGGACCCAGGTTCATACAGCACATCACAATTCGTAACAAATCTACTGCTATTACAATAGAGGATAATTAAAAACAGTAACAAAAAGAACAAAAACAAAAATGATAGAAAACTGAATGAGGACGGCGAGGTTGTGTATAGATAGATAGATATATAATGAAGAGATTTAGATAGATAGATAGATAGATAGATAGATAGATAGATAGATAGAAAGGAACAGAATGAGATAGATAGATAGATATGAACAGACTGAGATAGATAGATAGATAGATAGATAGATAGATAGATAGATAGATAGATAGATAGATAGATAGATAGATAGAGAGATAATCAAGAGTTTTAGATAGAGAGATAGATATTAAAGAGACTTAGAAAGATATATAGATAGATAATAGAGATTTAGACAGATAATAAAGAGATTTAGATAGATAAAAAGAATTTATATATATATATATATATATATATATATATATATAGATAGATAGATATTTAGATAGAGAGAGATAAAGAGATTTAGATGGATAGATAGATAAGAAAGAGATTTAGATTAATAAATAGATAGATAATAGAGATTTAGATAGATAGTAAAGAGATTTATATATATATATATAGATAGATAATAGAGATTTAGATAGATAGAGAGATAATAAAGATATTTAGAGGGATAGATAGATAACGAAAGAGATTTAGATTAATAAATAGATAATAGATATTTAGATAAATAAATAATAAAGAAATTTAGATAGATATATAAATAAATAATAGGGATTTAGATAATAAGATTTAAATAGAGAGATAGATAAGGAAGAGATTTAGATTGATAAATAGATAGATAATAGAGATTTAAATAGATTATGAAAAGATTTAGAACAATCGATAGATAGATAAGGAAGAGATTTAGATATAAAGATAACGATGAGATTTCGATAGATAGTTAATGAAGAAATTAGATAGATAGATAGATAGATAGATAGATATGAACTCTATCAGGCAGGAGATAGATAGATAGATAGATAGATAAAGAACACGCTGGAATAGATAGATAGATAGATAGATAGATAGATAGATAGATAGATAGATAGATAGAAAGAAAAGGAACACGCTGGAATAGATAGATAGATAGATCGATAGATAGATAGATAACACACTGGAGTAGACAGACAGACAGATAGATAGATAGATAGATAGATAGATAGATAGATAGATAGATAGATAGATTAAATCTGTTATCAGCGGACACAAGAAATTTAAAATTAGATTTTAAAGTTAAGTTTCAGCGTTTCTTTCCATGTCTAACTATAACCGGCGTTTGTTTGCATTTCCTTCATAACCCCCCATATATATATATATATATATATATATATATATATATATATATATATATATATATATATTTCATTAGTAAAAACATTATCTTATATGAAGAAGTCGTTCCGAACGCCGAAACGCGTCACATAGGATTTTTTAATTTTGTCATTCAATGACGCACTATATTTTTGTGTGTGTAGCCCACTCTAAGTGTCAAGAACCTGTAGCCTTGCTTTGCATGACATCGATATTAATAACACACAATCATTTCAGAACTTAGGCAATCTTGCCACTCCACAACTTCTTTTTTTAAATATCGAAGTTCGCCTATCACCCGGTTCACACTCCTTCCCCGTCTTTTGAACAGAATTATAGATTTATCCCTTATTTCTTGTTTAGAACTGGGTTCCCGGTTCCTTTTCGTAAAGTCTTCTTTACTCGCAGTAACCTCTTGTGTCTTAGTGGCATTATCGCCTTGCTTGGAGTGAAATAACTTAAAAATTAATTTGTAAACTGAATTGCCATTATTATTCTTGGGGAAAATAATGCATTGGTTTCCCGTTGCCTCTTCCTCCTCCTCATTCTAAAGTTGTTTTGCAACCAATGCTAGAGAAGCGAGTTTACCTTGCTATTTAATCCTTAGCTGGATGGAGGCGGAAAAGTTGTGCTTTTTAAGAGGGAATCATTGCGAATTGAACCCTGCTTGCTGATTCCATTTTCTGAGCTGGGAACCGTTAGTGCCTCCCACCCACATTCTCTGTAAATCCTGCTGCAAATCCTTAAGCAAAAGTGATATTCAATCTCAGACCTTCCAGTGCCGATTTTCAAGGGAAAACAGGTTTTTCTCATTCAGAATACTGGCTCAACATGATATTCGCATCTATACCTATTTTTCACCCAATCTCAGTTTGATAAATTAAAACCTTCAAACACACCCTAGAATGTCCATCACAAACTTACTGTACATTGTAATAGACGCGCATTTTTGCCACAGAAATTTCAAGTCACTGTGTTCATCCACATACATGGCCTTGTGTCAGACTTGATTTTACTCAAGTAAATTATTACTCATATGCGTGTGCATTTTATTCACAGAACGACAAACAGCTACTTACATATC